TTTTTATGTTTATTATATGATATTGTTATCACACATTTCTGTATTTCTTTTGTCTTGAGTTCAGCTACTTGTTTCCTCTCCTTGTCTGCTTCTGCCTGCTTCCTCTCCTCTTGTCTCCTCTCATTGTTTCCTTTCCTTGTTGGTGAGCCTCCTTGTCTCTCCTCTTTTTGTCCCTTTCATTCAACCATCTTCCTTTCTCCTCCTCTCTCATCGTCTCCTCTTCACTTGTCTCCTCAGCTCCTCCCTACTTCCCTCCCTACAGTCCTGACTCCTTCCCTCCTGCTGTGGCTCCTGACTATGACGACTACTCCCCAGCAGGGGGCAGCAGCCCGGTCTTCAGAGGGAGGACGCCGGTCTCTTTCGGGCTGCCGGAGGGAGCCTATCAGGGGCCAGAGTTCAGGTGAGGTCACATCTAATTATATGTGATCATTAATGCCTCCATTTGTGTTTTGATTGAATCTAAAGTTTTACTTTGAAGTATAAGAGCTTATTTAAACCCCCACCCCCTCCGTTCCCTCCCCAGGCCCCCGTCCTTCCGTCGCCGACGTGACCCGCCCACAGGTAGGGTGCTCGGGAGATGTTCCCCCGAAGGAGAAACTGCGCCTCAGGCATCTAAACACTGCTATTGCAAAAATGTGTGACTGTTCCCAGTGTTGCCAGCAAGTCTCTTCCACACAGGTCCGGATAACATCCACTGGAGCCGAACTACAGCTGCCCGCATATTTGACCCTTGTGTGGACTACTTAAACTAATTGTTCCCATAAACGTGCCTACTCAGGAGGCGGATAACTTAGTCATCAACCTCACTAAGCACTTTAAACTTGGTGACGCACAGCGCACTCTCCTTGGTAGGGGGTTAAATTTCATTCCCACTAAGGGAACAAATATACAGATAGCAGAGCACTGTCGCTTTGATCTACAGCAGTATCACAGGAGGTTAAAGCTGGCGGCCTATTTTGAAAACTCGACAGAGTGTGAACGACTCCCGTTCATTTATAAATCGTCCTGGACTCCTGTACAGGCGCAAATACGACACACTGTGACTGCTCTAATACAATCAGAGATACGCAATGTGACACACGCTTCAAAATTCATCACGTGCCTCCTAGGCTCAGTATGGACGAAGTGCGTCACTCGATGACCTACTTACTAACACACACATAGTTATTACACCCGCAGAGAAGGGCAGCTCTATAGGGATCTTGGGCCAGGCAGCAATATTTATGTGAAGGGCTATCTACGGCTTAATGATCCCAAATACTACA